TGGTATTAATATGCTAAGCTAAAATTTGGTAACATCGTTAATTCATACTATCATTGTATTCCATCATTCATTCAGAACACTGAAACAAGAAATGTTTTGTTTATCTGAGCATCTTTTCTGTGTGCAGGGAAGGGCAAAAGAAGAAGATAATCTCTAGATATCACACCGTTTCCAGCATTAAAAAGTCATGACAAACTGAATGGAGGAAGATTAATAAAGAAATTACTGCTCTTTGGCTGATCTCAAAAGATTACCAAGTACTGTACAAAGATGTTCAGAGTCTGCTAATAAGAACCAGTGTGATGCAGAGGTGTGTTGAACTAGGATTCAAAACAGCTGGTTTTAAATCCCCATTCAGCTATAAAATTCACTAGATAACTTTCACAAGTCACACTCTTTCATTGTTGACTTAACTCACAGGACCTTTGTGAGGATGAACTTGGGAGAACTGCCATGTATGCTTATACTGAGCCCACTAGAAGGGCAAGAGAAAACTGAAAATATAAAGCTTGCAACTCTGGAATACACCAGTCAGCCATCAAAGCAATACTGGTTAACATTAGGGATAAGACTTTCATATTTAATGCACTTTCACCCCCACAATTTCACAGGACCCACCAAGCTGAATCATGAGAGTGAAGACCCAAAGCAGCATGAGGTAGAGCAAGCCCTCTATCTGCATTCAGTTTCCGTGCTGGTCCTCCAATAAGCAAAGAATAAAATGCCACACTACACTGTAGGAGTTGTAAGGTTCCCTGGAACTTGCAAAGGTGCCTGGGACGGTGAGTTCTGACAGACGCTGCCTCCACAATATATGAAGACCGCCTTTTTTGGAATTTGCCAACTCTGGCACTTTTATAAGTCTTAGGGAATCTCTCAATTACCACAGTCCAATGAAGTGTTTTTCTCTCTGCTCATTAGAAGACTGGCTGAAAACTGAATGCAGCTAGAGGGGTTGTTCTACCTGCTGCTACTTTGGATTTTTACTCCTATAATTCAGCCAGGAGAGTACCTACCAAATTATGGGAGTGAAAGCCAATTAAATATGAAAGTCCCATCCCTAGTTAAGACCATGTACAACAATACTCTAAATGACATATGACTTTGTTCTCTGTGGCAAGTGGATTTTTACAAATAAAGTCTGGCCATGGTAGCCTACACTGAAAAAAACAATTGTACTGTCTTAATAGAAGGTATTTTGTATTATTCATATGTATTTCTATTTTTTGATATGCCAATTTAAACTTCTTTTCCTAAATTTGTCGGCTAGCACTTCAACATAACACGTCAACATAAAGCTATTTAAAGAATACCACCCAAATTTGAAATTTATAGCATCACCGCAAAATGTCAGTTTCTGAAGCCATGATAAAAGAACTTCTTTGGGGGGAGGAGTCTTGAGAAATGCTAAATACACCCTTCTCAATACTAAAATTGTATTTTTTGTTTCAAGTATATGAAGCATTTTGCATACAAAAAAATCACATGATACTCTTATATCTTTATTCAAACTTACTGTCAGACATCATTTCCCCCCTTCTCAGATACCAAGATACAGATGTTTTGATAGCATAAGGTGCAGAACCAGTAAAATATACATCAATTCTATATGAAAACACTGGTTTATGTTGTTAAAGCAGTGAAATTTAGATGTGATATAAAAATAAATTTTGCATATTTTTGGGGGGGTATACATTTTTGTTTTACCTGGGAAGTGTACCTACAGCATAACAATTTCCAGAAATTCTGCCTCTCAAACTCATTACTTCAAGGAGCAGAATCTTTAATATTTCATTACAAATCGTTATAACATACAATTTTGTGTCTAGTTGACTGGACAGCTCAGTTCCCTAATGTACACCCCAGGAGAGCAAGCCTGTGTGGCCATGGGCAAGCTACATAGACCCAGGATGGCCCCCCTCCCAAAGGGAAGTTAATGACTTCTGAGTACTTTCTACCTAGAAAACCCTGAAAAGGGTTGCTGTAAGTCAGAATTGATCTGATGGCACATAGTTATTTTGTGTCCGAAGTCCAGTGTTATCCAGTCAAATCCACACTGCAGGCCTCTTTCCTCAGATACACCTATGCAGAACTTCTATACTATCCAAACCCTCATGAAGTGACTAGTCATTAAACCTTCCTTTCTTCATGTCTCCCAATATACAGAAGGTGTGCATTCACACCACAGAGGAAGGGAATGTGGCTTTAACATTTCCAAAGGAGATCCATTCATACAGGAAACTGCATCCACAAAGAACTGTATCAAAATCAATGATTTTGACATTATTTAAATACATGAATTACTATGAATGACCTAACTAGAGATGGCCGCAAATGGCTGCTTCAGCAGTTCACTGCTCAGCCAAACAGGTGTTTGCCACTTCAAAGCCCTGCCTCCTCTGGTAAGTGCCCATCCAGGAGGCAGCAGCCTAGCTTCCCTGTCCCATGTCCTCCAGGTACTGCCTCTGAGTGGGTGCCAGTCAGAAGAGGTGGGGTTTTGAAGCATTAAACAGCTGATACATGAACCAGCATGAACTGCCAAACCAGCAGTTTGTGAACATCTCTAGAACATATACCTGACTACTTGCACTTTCAATACAAACCATTACTTGTTGCTCTGAAGCATAACTCCCATCTGCTTCAGAAGGATGGTGTATACACCTTTTACTTCCTGAATCATGAGCTCACCTAATTCCAACTATTCTCTGCTGACAACTAGGATAACACATCAGTTATGTCCATGCTCTTAACTACTTCTATTAACTAATCACTAATGGGTACCCTTCAGAAACGAGACAAATAAATATGATTCTGAAAATACAGAACAAAGTACTTACTCGAACCCACCACCAGCCTACAAAATATTTACAGCAATTTACACAAGTACAAACTTTGTTGTAAGATTGCAACGTTTAATACTATTGATAACATACAAGATGCAAGATCCCGGATGTTTCCAAACAAGATTTTTATCTGCAACCACCCTGCCTCAAACATAGAACTTTACAGGGGAACTGGACAAAAGGTCCCCTGTAACACTGACCTGTTCTTCCCCACCTTTCTCTGTACTAGAGAAATTCTTCCAAGAGGAAAAGGCTGAATAGGTGCATAATGGCTTTTTGTTGATAGTATTAGCTGTCCTTCTAGCAGCAGTCTAAGTCAAGTATGCAATAGGCAACACATAAGACTTCTGGTTTTTAAAATCTCTTATTTATGAACTATTCATTGCTCAGTGAAAAGATGAACTGATCAAAGGTGAACATGAGATCTTGAATGCCACTAAGAATTTTAAGCCAATTTAAAAGTCATTATCTGTTCAGGAATTACAATTCTAGAGAAACTGGAGAACCAACATCTCCAAGTCATTCTGCAAGAATGCTTGGGGCCTTCCCAGCACTTATCTGACCATCTGCACCATTAAATAATGCAGGTAGATGGCAAACATGTTTTGGAAATCTTAGTTTCAAAAGCAAGCTCTTACTCTTAACTCACATTACACATCTTTCCAGAAGTAAGGCCTATTATTCTACCCACATTATGAAATCCTGTTTCCATCTTTTACTTGGATTGTCTCTCCCTCAACATCTCTATGTATTAATATATTCGCGAAGGCTCTATGTATTACCCCTTTGTCTCCCCTTGAAAAAGGAGAGAAGTGCCAAGCACCATCATAGCGAGGTACCCTTGTCAGTTCAAAGTTAAGCAGTCAACACTGCTTCCTCAGTCCTTTTTCAAACTGCCCACCACATGAAGCTTGGCCTCCCAGTTAAAGTGCAACCCCTCCCAAACAGCTGTAACAAAAAGTAGTAAGACTTCTGTGTACCCGTAAAATGCTAATAAAGTGTATGTATTTTTTTTCATTCTTGGAAACCTTTATTGGCATTATATGATACAAGGGAGTACATAGCACAGTTACATTCCAGTTCCAGGTAAAGGGAGGGGCAGGCAAGGGGTTGTAATAGGTTAGGTGTATGTATATATTTGTAATGTTTGGCATTGCCTTATCCATCCAGTGCGTCAGAAACAACAGATAGTCGTCATGCTGACCTGAACCCTTAAAAACGAGTTTAAACTCTTATTTTTCTCTCCCCAAGACCGCCCCCCCCTCGCAGCACCTATGGCTGCCCTTCGCCAACTCCGTATTCTTTCGGTCTCCAAGCAGAGCAAAAACGGAGCCCAGAAGAAGGGAAACGGAGCCCAGCCACCGTTGATGACCAGAGGAACAGCCCTACTGATTCCAAGAGGGCCGGGGAGGAGCCTTTCACAACCCCACCTAAAAGTATTCTCAAAACTGACCCATGTGGCCTTGAATCTTCCTCAGCGAACGTGGGGGTCGGAACATCATCATAAGCCTTCCCGCCACAAGCCTTCCCCCTCCAAGCCCTGCCTAAGAACAGGCGTCCCCCCCCCCCAGAATAAGGCCCTCCATTACAAAGACGACCTGTCGGATTGCCCGCATTTTTTCTAGCCGACCCAGTACATAGTTTTCGAAGAGATTTTTTTTTAAATCACCCTATTTGCCAGATTCCGAGGAAGCGGCCGAGGCCGCTCAAACCCGCCTCTTCCCCACGTGTTTTGTTTGCACTTCAAGCCGGGCCAGGCTAGGCCAAGCCAACTCAGAGCTGCCCTCCCGGCCACTGGCTCGCCCGGAGGCAAGAGTGACCTGGAAGGGGACGTGAGAGCGGCACACACACACACACACACACACCTTCACCGTCCGTCCAGCAGCCACTGCTCCAGAGGGCGACATGTTTCCCACACGCCCAAAAAAGAAAGAGAGGCAAGGCTAGGAAAGGGCACCGCCTCTATCCGCTTCCCTTCCTCCCATCCCGCGCCTCGACGTCCAAGATTCCCCCCAACGATAAGGCTGAGCTCTCCTAGGGAGCGCTCGTTAGCGCTCCCCGCCGCCGCCGCCGCCAACCCTCTGCCGATCGTCCCACCCTCCCTCCTTCTTTCCCTCCGTCCTTCCCTTCGAGCAGCCACGCGCCCTGATTCTGTACCTGCGCGAGGCCGGGTCTCGCAGTGAGTGACTCAGGAGAGCAAGAGGGGAGCGCCGCGCGGCTGGCGGTAAAAAGACCCAAGCTCCCGCCGCTCGCGCTCATATAGAATGAACGTCACCACGTAACATTTCCCCCACCCCTCTCCTCTCCTCCCGGCCCCCCGCGCTCCTTTCCCGCGCGCCCCTGTCTCTAGGCAACCCCCGAGCACGCGCGCCGGCCTCGGCGCGGCGAGTTTCCTGCCTGGCGACGAGCAATCGGGAGAGCTCGCTTCTCTTTTAGCCCGCCAATCAACCCGCCAACCAAGTTCTGGCCAACCAGCGCCTCTGACGGGGCCGTCCGGGCCGTGCACGGACTGGCCACGTGCTCCCCGGATTCCCTGGAACAAACAACAGTGCTCGCGCACGCGCGCGCGCGGGTGCTGAGAACTGGGAGGAGGGAAGATGACAGCAGCCAGTTGGCAAGAGAAGGGAACCAAGAGGAGGGTGGGGCGAAGTGGAGTCCTGAGGCGCCATGCGGCTCGGCGAGGCTGTTTTTTTTTTGCAGCCTCCGGTTCCGTCAGGTTCCTCCTATACTCCCCCGCCCCATGGCTTTCATGGGGCGGAGTAGGGGGGAATCACTTGGGGACTTCCGCTAGTAACAATTCAGTTGAAGTGCGTTTTAAATTGGTTGCGGGCCATCCATGAGTCTTTGAACAGCAAAATGGCAGTCTCCCAACTTGAAGTGGACTCCCAGACACTTCTGGTTTCTTCTCTCTCTTGCCTTTTTTCCCCTTTCCTCATTTTTAGTGATCAGTGCAGCCCTTGGGGAATCCTGGTGGCAGCAAATTGGCCTCGGCTGCCAAAAGCGCCTGTAGAGCAGTGCCTCCACGTAATATTGTTGGGTTGTGCATGTGGTTGCAGATATACCTACGTGTAGTCTTGTATCACAGTCGACAAAACAATATGTCACAAATCAATTTGAGTTAAATCATCTTCTGATTTCCAATCACATATGCTGTTGTGATGGAAGTCGCTGATTTCGCCTGCATCTGTTTTTTTAGAATTTTATGTATTAATACTGTAATAGGCCTAACTGAAATCCAGCCAGCTTTTCTCCACTGGACAAGTAAATATTCAGGAGTAAATTCCAGTTTCATCAACAGAGCTTACTCATCTCAAGTAAATATGCAGGGATCTATTAGATCCCTGCAAGAATAAGATAAGTAACAATAAGACTATTACAGAGCTCTACTGAGTGCCATAGAAATTAGGCACATACCTAGTCTGGTTTTTATAGGCAACACTATACCTTTAGAGCTATTCAATATTGCTCACGATCATAATGGCCAGTATAGTATTGAAGAGTACCACACACAAAACTAAAATTTCTGAAGATGTTGTGGGCTCTTTGACATAGCCACAACTACTGTTTCAACTTCAGTTCCGCACAGAAATCCTCAACAGGATACTGACCAATGTCTAATCTGAAACTTGACCCATCTCAGTTTATTGTTTCAGATTGGCATGACCAAACAGTGTGGGAGCACTTTCACTTATAGATCGTATGCATGTTTACCTGGAAGTAAACTCTTACAGGTAACACAGTAGAAATTAATTATGAGTAAGCATGAGTAAGACTGATCTGTGCATTACAATGGAGAGAAAAATGTACCACACTTGTCGTCGTTCAAAACAGAATACTGTGGTTGGGGAGAGTCCTGCCTCTCCAGTTGAGGAGGAGTCTGCACACCATCTGAACATCTTCCTTTAAAAATTAGTCTCAGCCACTTTTTTAACAGTTTGAGATTTTTTTCTTAACTAATCATTTGATTCTGCAATTACACTGCCTAATCTCTTCTTACTTTGTCCTTTAACAATCAACAACTATAAAGTACATATACAAAGGTTTTCAACTTGCAAGTGTTAAAATAAGACCATTCCCCCCCCCCCATCTGATGAATGAAATTTTCATTTAGTGAGTGAAGTGGCTGGCTACATGACCGTTATATAGGAGTAGAGAACATGTGCCCCACAAGATGCTGAATTACCATCATGGCTTATGATTGACTTGGCTAGATTGGAGTCTTGGCAACTGGAGTCCAAAAAACAAAAGCAATAATTTTCCCACCCCTGGTTTATATGGACTATTTAGATTGTTTTAAATCTTCCATCATAGGGTAAGTGGTGATAGATAGCACCAGCCTTGAGCTGGAACACTGATGACTTGATAGTAGATTCCTGGGGTCTGGAAGAAAGTTTTTTGTGTGCATGCGGAGACATGATATCATGAGACATGATATTTTCATTTTCCTTCAGCAAGGTTCTCTGTAATTGTTTCTTACTTGTTTGCTGATATTTTTCATCAGGAAACAGGCTAAGTGAAAGCATGATGGAGATTGTTGAACTATCACATGGCAAGGAATTCATTTCACTGCACAAGTTTAAATCAGGTTCCTGCCCATCCTTGCTTTTTGAACTTGTTTCTCTTCTGAGAAGAGAGCAGATTTCCCCACAGGGAACACAGCAGCAAAGTGGAGAAACAAAGTATACAAAACCTTTGAAACTGGATGACAGAAGAAAAAAAAAGGATGTACAGTAATGTGAGGAAAAATGAATAGCTGAAATGTGATAATACACCTTTACGACAAAAATAGATTTCCTTAAAATTAGTTTCTCACTAGTTTTTGAGCTCAGCAGGGACAAATTGCAATTCTTGCCTTAAGAAAACTGAATTTGCTTATGCAGAAGAGAGCAGTATCTACACACACGCCCCTAGAAATTGGCATAAACAATATGCTTTAGTAGTTGTGCATAACAGAGAACCAGTGTGATATAGTGAATAGAGTGCTGGACTAGGACTCAAGGTATAAAATACAATTGCATGTCATTAAGTCAGTTCTGACTTATGATAACGCTTTCCAGGATTATCAGAGGATACTCAGAAGTGGTTTACCCTTATTTTCTTCTGGGGGTTTTCCTGGGACTCTGGAGCTTGCTCACGGTTATACAGGTTGGGTGTTCCTCAGGAGGCACAGTGATCCCAGGGTTCTAATTTCTATTTGCCATTCACCGGGTGGGGCGGGGAATAGCAAAAATCATTCTATGAATGTGTCAGGTACTATATCTAGAAAACTCTATTAGGGTCACCATAAATTGGAAGTGACTTGACAGTGCATAATAACACACCAGTATAGAAGAATGACTGAATAGGTAACACAATCTTCCATTAACTTCTCTCACAAACAATGGACAACTATGTTACATTACTATTTATTTATTTATTTTAAGGTCTTTTAAGTCTTAGAGTATTTTATTGAGACCCTCTAAAGCCAAAGCCTTTTCAAAGTTTTTTTTCCAAGATGTCACATTTCTTATAAATATAATAAATAAACACAAATTCCTGGTTTTATTTTCATGATGGATCAAAGAAATGAAGGGTTTGGAAACCATCAGACGGAAAATCATACTAATCTCCTGCATTCATAAATACAAGAGATTATTAGGAGTCCCTTTCTAATGGCTCTCAAATTCTTCATTTCCTTGATCCACGATGAAAATAAAACCAGGAATTTGAGTTTATTCATAATAATTACATGATATATAACCAGGAATTTGGGTTTATTCATAATAATTACGTCATAATTATATGAATTGAAATATATTTCATCTGAGTGGTCAAGGCTGTGTCACGGTGTCTTATGTGCCTGCTGCTCACATGCTAAGTGTGCATGGGCAACTTCAGGATCTCTGCTCTCTGTCATTTTGAATATTGATCCTTAAACTGAATTTCAACTTGGCACACACTTTCAAATAAAGGATTGTTCTCCATTAATGTGAACATATGTTCACCTTAACCAACATGGTCACTGGATGACAATAGAAGTCAAAAGCCAAATTATCTCTGCCCTGCCCTTCTTACAACTTGTACGCCTTGAGGTAGTCACAGGGCTGCAAGCCATTAGCCCAGTGCAGTATCTGGAATAGCTTCATGAAGGGGAGGGATGGGAATGATAATTGGCAGGAAAGAGGGTAGAAAAAGAGAACATCGATAGTCAATTCAAAGATACTACATGCCGCATCATTGGGCTTGGGGAATTTCTGTGTCAAACTTACTGGGACAGATTTAGATACAAATGTCAGTTCTAGATGACAGCATATCGACTGAAAGAAAATTGCTGCACAAATTTGTTTTTTCTGTCGTACTACTCAGCCTGAATAAAATGGTCTAAGCTAAACCGTAATCTTTACTTTATAACAAGATCAATAAGGACATAATCCCAGCACTGTCCAACTGACTGCAGTTGGAACTGTAGATGCTCTTCATTTTAAAAATCAAAAATAAAGGATTAATATGGTGCTGAAGCAAATGCAACATAAAAAAACAGACTCATATAGCACAATTTAATGCTAGCATGATGATAGCAGAAAGGGCGAGGATTATCTCTTCCCTCTTGCAACTGGAGTAGGCCCATTGAATCAGTGGGGATTTGGTGAGCCAACCTCTCCATAAGTTCCATTGATTCAACAGACTGACTTCAGATGCTATTTGCTACTGAATTTCAACCTTTAAGGTTAATTGATATGCAATAGGTATGAAAAGAAATAGTGTAATATTTATCTGGTGGCTATACTGAAATAATATCAGCTGTAGTTCTGATGGCAATTTTTAGAATATATATTTTAATTGCATTTTAATTATTTTGCCCTTTTATTTTGCCTTTTTATTGTATTTTAAATGCTGTAAGCCGCCCAGAGACCTTCGGGTAGTGTGGGCGACATACAAGTTAAATAAATAAATAAATAAAAGGTAATGTGGACCCATGAAAGTGAAGTACTGTATACTGGGGATGATTAATATGTTTCCTAGGGTGTGGGAATGGATTGCAATGTTTTTCCCCTCTTGGCAAAACTGAAGTGTGTAGCAATAACAGTTTGTAGACCACTGGTTCTTAACCTTGGGTTACTCAGGAGTTTTGGGCTGCAACTCCCAGAAGCCTTCACCACCAACTGTCCTGACTGGGGTTTCTGGGAGTTGCAGTTCAAAAGCATCCGAGTAACAAAGGTTAAGAACCACTGGACTATAAGTTCAGATGGGCTGGTTGCATATAGAAAAGATGACACAATTGAAAATACTGGTAACTTACGCATTTGCCT